AAAACCCCAAAACCCCAAAACCCCAAAACCCCAAAACCCCAAAACCCCATAAAGCATAAGTTCGATGTAGACTTAAGAATATAACAAAACAATAAATTAATTATAGATAGTGGATTTAGAAGAAGCTAATCAGATAAATCTATCCACTCCCATAGGTTCAAAATAGTATTGTGTCATTAGTTTTCATTATATAGAAGTTTCAAGCGCAAGCTGCATAGCATTGATCTCTGATAATTTTGCTGATTGACTCCATTTTCTATTTGCTCATTGAAATAAGAGTGATTGTCTCATAAATGTGTCTTTTAGTTTCCTTTTTCTTACATTCATTTACAAACTTCATCATAAGCTCTTGAATCTAGTTTTCTTCAAGTTTCATGTACATTTCAGCGTTTGAGAGGGATAAGTGAGCATACTGTAATAACGCTAAGGCTGCGCCATTTGTTGGCCAATCATGTCTGGTGTCTTGTAGAATATCCTTGAGCACTCTGATTACATCTTTTCTCACCATATATTCAGTAATTTCCTCACTTTCAACATTACAAGTCAAATTTAATACAATACCTATCATTAGGTCTCTAAATCTATTTAAGTACACCTTATTAGGAGAATTTTTGGGTACCTTTCTTTAGAGTGATTCCTCTAACTCAACTAATATTACATCAAACAAGTCTTTGTCTTTAATGAGAAAAGCTACCTTCTCTATACAATTCTCATTAGCAGTCAAGTCTAAAAGTACTGTCGCAGCTGGATATTTGACTGAGATCAGATCATTCTTAGATTGCATGAATAGATCAACCAATTCAACTATGTTTTTAAGATATTTTGATAGCACCTAAATTCCTTCTTGGTGACAAGCGCAAAGTTCGAATATTCTTGCGACAGATTTATATTCAACTGCCTCAATAGGGGAATATATGATGAATCTTATAAGACTGCTGAATATATCTGCTTTGATAAAACTAAGAGACAGTTCATCATACAATTCTCTATCTTTAAACTCTAAAGTGATTTCTATCATTTACCCTATTAGTGCTTCAATTTGCTTTTTTTCTTCAACTATTTAAACCAAGCTTTGTTGGTCGTAATGTCTTAATGGCCTCACATAGCATGCAATTATATCTACAATACTTTTATTATTAACCAAGGCTTGAACATCACTTTTCTTGAATAACTACTACTAATGAAGAGGAGTAGCACAGCACTCAACATAATTACTGGTATTTGTAACTTGAGATCTAATATAATTTTAGAATGATGAAGAACCTCCATGATTGCTGCTAGGCCTATCTCTAGATAGATTTGTGATTTTTCCAAGAGGTAATTTAGTATTGTTAAGTCTACTGGAAGGTGTTTGATCTTTTCTAAGTTGATAAGTGTTAGTGATATTTTAAAGCACTGGCTTTTAATCTAAGAAGCCTGAGTTATTCTGACCAGCACCATTATTAGTGGGTTTATTATTATATGAACTGCTTCTCTAGCTATGATTTGCTGAGATTGTATTCAGTTCGGAATTATTCCTTACAAATGGATCCTTCTTGAAATCGTTGTTAGCAATGGATATCAATTTTTCAATGATTAGCAAAATAGTTCTCCTTTAATCAGATATCACTTATGAATAACTTGATTTTTATGCATTTTAAATCCATCTTCTAAAATATTTCCAACTGCTATTAATTAAAAACTAGTACAACTCATAAGCAGCACTCTTGCAATTTTAAATAAGATAGAGAATGCGATTGAGTTCTTTAAGCTCAGGCACAAAAACGTTCTCATGCTTGGATCGTTTAATAATCAATTTGATCTCTTTATCATAGCATATGTGCTGAATTGAGGGAGTATTGCTGCTAGTATTGATAATGTTGCTGTGATTGATGTTGTTTTGTGAATTATTTATTTAATTCTGAGAGTTATTTATTGACTCGTAGGAGATCTTTCTCTTTCGGTACTTCTCATTGTTAATGATAGGGTTTCGATCACTTATGATATTCTTTGGTCTAGGAGGGTTAGAGTGATTGTTTTGTGAGGTATTACTATTATTAGAGTGAACTATAGTTTCAATAAGTATAAAGTAGTTGAGAGAAATAATTTCGTTAATTCAAGTTTAATTGTTTTTTAACTTACCTCTTCCTGGCCTATTGCTGCCTGATTTGGGTGGATGCTGTGTGAATTAAATTCGATTGACAGGATACATGTTGGAAATAGAGCTAATGTTTGAGGTCATATTATTCTATAGCAGTTAATTAGCAAATACTCGATTAAAGTCATTACCATTGATAAAGGTTCTTAATTTAAGAAATTTTAAATTATAACGTTCATTTTAATAAATTGAGACATTTGATTCCATTTCATTAATTCTGATTGGTTTTTTCACTCTCGGGGTTTTGGGGTTTTGGGGTTTTGGGGTTTTGGGG